CGTTTCGGCTATGCACGCCTCTCTATAGCGCACTTTGTGCTGGTGCTTGGAGAAGACAGCATCGGATCCCCCGAAGATCATGATGCACTCCTCGGGGTCAAGGAAGTCGTCCCCATCCTTGCCCGCCGTGTCTCCTTTCTTGGCTGCTAGTTCCTTGCCCTTCCCTTCCTTCGGCCCACCGGTCTGTCGCAGAAAGCGCTTGAGGAGCTCACAGTCCTTGTAGAGGTGCTTGATGGGGTAAGCGTGGTTGGTGCAGGGGATGTCCATGAGCTTGTCGAAGTGGTCAGGCAGGCCTTGCTGGGGCCGCTTGCCCGCACGATCAGCTGCGGCGACCAATGCGGAGTTGGTCGCTCGATGCTGATCCTTCTTGTTCTTCTTGCCCCTCTGCGTGGAGGGGCCTCGTCTTGGTCCTCACGCTTGGCCTTGCCCTTGTCCCGGCCTCCGTTGAAGACTTCTCCGATTGCCTCCTTGCCGGAGGCGTGGTTTGTGGCAACGTCGAGCAGGTCGCGGGTGGTATGGGGCTTCAGGTAGCCAAGCTTGTGGATTAGGGACTCGTAGGTCATCCTAGAGAGGAATGCGCTGATGACGTCCGCGTCGATGACATCTGGAAGGGAGTTGCACCATTTGGAGAACCTGCGGATGTAATCCCGTAGGTACTCGCTGGGCTCCTGCTGGTAGCTCTTGAGGTCCCAGGAGTTCCTAGGGTGGACATACATCCCCTGGAAGTTGCCGATGAAGGTTCTCTTGAGGTCCGCCTAGTCGCGGATGCTATCGCGCGGGAGGAATTCGAGCCATGCTCGAACATGTTCCCCCACACAGATGGAGAGGTACTGAATAATGAAGTGGTCATCATCCACTCCACCGGTTCGGCAGGCAAGCCGGAAGTCTTCAAGCCATATACTAGGGTTCGTCTCCCTAGTATACTTGGCAATGTTGGTAGGCGGTCGAAAGCGCGGTGGGAACAGCGCTCTCCTGATGTGTTGGCCAAAGGCCCGTGGTCCTAGGCCATCTGGGCTAGGACTCCGGTCGTCTGGTCAGCGACCATGCCTAGGGTGCGTTTCACCGCTCCCCTTGATGGCCCGGCTAGGGCCCATGTCACCTGTCATCACCGTGGCCCGATAGACGTCATCATCATGCCGGGCCTGATGCCAGTTGCTGATGATGCTGCGAGCGTCTTGGTTCAGACCGAGCCATTCGTGTACTGGCGGTCGGTGTCGAGCAGGCGCCGGGTCGGACCGCGGCGCAGCTACGACCTGCTGTGCCACACTTGGCGGCTGTAGCGGTGAGCAGATAGAGCGATACGTCTGGTATGTCCCCACTCCCCTAGTGGGGAGAGAGGCCGCGAGTCGGTGTCGCGATTTGGAGCTCTCCGCCTGTTGAACGGTGGTGGCTTCCACCAGCGCCTAGAGGTTTCGGTGGACCCCCCCGCTCCTAGGGGTCGATGGGCTCGGGAACACCGCGCAGAAGCATTGCCATAGCGGTGATGTTATGGCTAGCCCGAGCGAACCATGGGGGATCGTTCCCCTCGTCCATGATGTTGCGTTGGACCTGGCGGGTGTGACCCAGGCGCCGCTCGCTGGATTACACGCGCATGGTGCAACGTGCTACGCCGAGTGCGCCAGCACAGGTGGCGGCTAGTTCTGCCACCTTTGTCGTAGCTCCTCGTCGTGCTCTTGTGCAAGCATGAGGGCCCCTGCACGAGGTCCGAAGGGGTGTGAGTTTGCAAGGACTCCACTACCACTAGCGGCTGTCCCAAAACGTCCACCATAGCGCACTCCCAGGACGGACGGTGGCTAGGTGCCACGTCGCTGGTGCTGGAGCCATCGCTCTCAACCTCGTCATCCAGGAGCTCGTGGAAAGTGGTGGGAGCATAGCTCGCCATTCCCACGAATTCAAATGTGAGATGGGGCGGCGCTAGCGTCCTTCGGAGCCCTCGAGCGTATGCGTCCACGGGGGACGCGAGGCCGTAGGGGAACCGGTCGTACGGTGGTTGAGGTGTGAACAACGCGGTCCCTCCGGATAATCGGCGAAAGATAGTGAATAGCGAGTAAATAACAGCATGTACATTACTCACAGCGGGATTTGAGCAGAGCATTTGCTTAGAATGAAGCGCAGGCGCCTCGTCGTTGAAGTCGTCGGGTGTCCCGAAGCCGATGGAGGGCGCCCCTCCGATGGGCACCGGGATGGGTGCCTCCTCGCGGAGGTGGAGCGCGCCGAGCCAGTCGGCAACGAAGTCTAGGCTTCCGAAGAGGAAGGTCTGGGACGGCTTGAAGATGGGTGTAACCCACATCCCAAAAGGTGGGAGTGCAGGAAACTCCAACGAGCCTAAGCAAGTCGTATCGCTCGAGCCCGCCATGGCGAAGATGGCGGAAGGATGGGCCATCCGATGAAAAAAAGCATGAACGTATAGCGTCCTCCCCACAGACGGCTCCAACTATCAGTGCAGAAAGTGACCAACACGTAAATATTTATAGTTTTGCCGTACGTTGTGATCGGATGTGGCCTAACACTCAATGACACAGGGTTTATACTGGTTCAGGCAACGTGCCCTACGTCCAATTTAAGTCGGTCGGTGAATTTATTCCTGAGCCCAGGTGCTCAAAGTTTGCTGTGGGGTTATAAACGAGAGGAAGAAAGATGGGAGGTGTAAGAGGTCCGGTCGGACTCCGGACTGAAGGGCCGAGAGTGACGGGAGCTCCTACGTGCGCTGAGTATTCGAGCGTGTGCTCGAGGTTTGAACCTGGTGGTTCTGTTATTATGTGTTGAATAATCGATCGAGAGGCCCCTTGTTAGAAGAGAGCGCATCCCCTTTTATAGATGAAGGGGGCGGCCTTACAAGCGAGAGAGAGAGAGAGTACGTATGCTGGTAAGTCTTGTTACTCACATCGTCGGGTACAAGGTGATTGTAGGCGCCCATAATACTGTTAATGTCAGACACATGTGGGAGGTTTTACCGTATGGTAAATGATGGCGCCCACAACACTATTGATGCCCAGAGGCATGTGGGGAGTCTTACCGTGTTCGCCTGGTATGGGAATTGATGGCGCCCATAACACTATAGGGCAAAACGTCGGCGCCCGCAACACTACTTGGGTCTGACATGCCTAGAAGGTTGCAGGGTGCCCTTCTGCCATGCCCTATCGGTACTGTCCTATAGGTGTACAGGGGACGGTCCTCGGTATTGCGGTTGACTTGAGCGTCCTGCTTTACTTGCTCCGCCCGTTTCCTGGTCCTCACCGAGCGGGCGTCCCCAGTCGGTTGGTCCCAATCGGCTCTAACTACGCCAGTCGGAGAAGAGGTGTAAGCAGAGGTTTGGTGCACCCCCGGTCGGAGTCGGAAGCGGCGTTGGCCAGGCCTTCCGGTCGGAGATGCGGACCGTAGTCGGAAGCGAGCACTGTTCCTCCTTGGTCAGACCTTCCGATCGGAGAGGTGGGCCGGAGTCGAAAGCGAGGGCTTCCGGTCAGAGAGGCAGGCCGTAGTCGGAAGCGAGTATTGTTCCTCCTTGGTCAGGCCTTCCCGTTGGAGACTGGATCGCTCTTCTGGCCTGTCGTTTCAGGTAGTTTTGGGCCGGCCCAAGAGTTGCGCGTCGTTCGCAACGTCGTCTGCTGGGCCGAGCTTTTGCTGGGAAGCTGATCCATGAGGGACCCCGGGTTCATGATCCCGACAGGACTAGAGTATATATATTAACTAAATAAATATTTGTGTTACAATACAAAAGAAAAATAAAAACTAAAAAGAACACTAAATATTTTGTAAAAAAGGGAACAAAATTAGTTAGCTCTAGGTCTCTAACGTTCATCTGATCAACATATTCTTAGGCTACACAAAAGACTCACAATAATAACACTAACAAATTAAGTAGATAAGGAAGACTAATGCCAAATAATATAGATTCTATTAGAGATCAATTCGGAGGGAGAGCAAACACGTAAGCACTAATTACATTTAACTAGATAATTAAAGGGTGTATTGTGGGGATGAACTACATATTTAGTAGGCATAGTAGAAAGAAAAAAAGAGGGAGAAAATAATAGGAAGACTAAATTTCAATTATATAAGTTGACTATAGGGTGTACTGTAGGAATGAAGTAGACATTTGGTAGGCAATAACAGAAACAACAAAAGAGATGGAGAAAATAATAGGAAGACTAATTCTTAATTATACAAGATGACATTAAAGATTAATATGGAGAGGACAAGAAACAAATAAAAATAGTATTGTTAACTAGTTAATTAGAGTAATATTGTTAACTAGGAGGCATATTGTAGGGAGTGTAGAAATGTTGGGGGTGACAGGGCCCGCTCAGCCCCCTTCCCTCTGCCACTAATCCTCAATCTTTCACACATTTTATTCCTAAAAGTATGCAAGAAAAGTCTATATAATACTCCATATATTCTAAATTGTATATTTGTAAGTCATTTTTACTTTTATAATACAATACACCTAGACATATGTTGTGTTTAGATATAGATGGAAAACTGTGTATCTAGTCTAGAAAATAAAAACGACTTACAATTTAAAACGGAGACGTACTTAAGAACAAGTTCATTTTTATCCATCCAACTTTTGCCAGTGTTTTTCTTTGGCCATTCAACTCTAAAACTACAAAACTTTAGCCGGCAAACTATTCATACCAAGCAAATTTGGCCATCTTGCGGGTTTCATAGCTGGTTAGATTTTTTTGGAAAAATAACAAAAATATTTATAATTAATTCATTTTAAATCAAATAAATAACTAAATATAGTAATTTATTCATTGGTACCCTATTTGAAGCTATTTGTTTTTTTTTCATTTACTAAACTTGTCGATCAAAAGAAAAGGTATAGACTGAGAAGAGAGAGATCGGGACGTGCGCCTTGCAAGTGTCGTTTCGATTTGTTGGGCTTGGGCTGCAGTTTCCGGTTTCCATTTGGGCTCAGTCACATTTGGGCCTTCGTTGATCCAGTCAGAGAATAATCCCAGCGAATTGGAAAAGGAAATTCCAGCTCCACTTCCCGCATGGAGAATTCCCCACCACTAGCACCAGCAGCGGCAGCGCAGGCGACGCGGCCCGATCCCGTCCACCGCCCAGAGGACCCCGCGACGATGCGACCGCCGTCGCCGCCGCGCCCGCCTGTCGCGTTCCCGACGCTGGACTCGCTGGCGGCGTTCCTCCGGCCGCGGCTCCCTCCTGGGGCGCCTGCGTCCTGGGGCGCCGTGCCGGGGACCAAGACCCTGGCGAACCTGTTCCTGGAGCTCGCCGTGGGTGACTGCGCGCTGCACGCTCCCGCAGACGCTCGCCGTGGGTGGTCCGCGCGGTGCACGTGGCCACGGTTCGCATCCGCAACAGCCGCGGCGCGCGGCTCGTGGAGACCCGGCAGCTGCTCTCCGACGGCACGGTCCGGCGGCGCGGTCTGCGGCCGCTGTCCGAGAAGATGCGGCCCGGCGAGTCCCCCGAGGCCGCCGCGGCGCGGGCCGTCCGGGAGGAGCTCGGCGCCCGCGCCCGCGTCCGGATCCTCGGCGGGGACGGCGCGCGCGTGGAGGAGCGGGAGTCCGCGTCCTACCCGGGCCTCCCCGCCCGCTACGTGCTCCACGCGGTCGACGCCAAGGTGGTGGACGGCGTGCCCGAGGACGGGGAGTTCGAGACCGAGGAGACCGGCGAGGACGACGGGGACGCCGGCGCCATCACCGTGAAGCGCCACTACTGGGATTGGATCGACGACGACGACGACGACGGTGACAGTGAGCGCAAGGAGGTTGCTGCTGCCGGCGCGCTCGCGCACTAGAGGCTGCTCTGCTCTGTCAGTGGTGCATGCCGAGCAAATCGACGAATTGGGCGGCGCCTCTGTCTCCTGATGATTTTGTTGGCAATTTCTCTGCTTCGGATCAGTTCAGTTGACATGTAGGTTTCCGTATCAGATCACATTATTGTTTCAGTTTCAGAGATGAAATCTTGAACTGCTTGTTCCTCCCAAAATCCACCCAATCAAGAACAAGTCCTCTGAAGTCTGAACTCTGAACATAGGGAGTACTGTACTGTAGGTTACTGCTTGCACTTTTGCTGCTTCCAGTTTCTGTGCAAGATCATATGACGATTATATACATATGTAAAAGAACCGTGGAATGTAACGGATCGGATCCGTTCCGTGTTTCTGGTGTGATGAACTACACGAGTAATCAACACCGTTTCATATTTCAATTCAATATATAAGTGTTTAGCAGATCGAGTACAAGTAGCCTAATCTCTACTCTGAAAGAAACATAAACAACCAACACAAGAAGGAACCCCGCACACATATCATTTCCCAAAAGCAATTTTTTGACGACTCGTCCCTCATCGGCTCATCCAATTCATCAGTACTCTTTCATTTAGACCTCTTTGGTTTGGAGCGAGCAGGTCCGCCATGGCGATCCAGAGGTTTCTTGAACGGAATGAAGTCGATCCCAGACATGTAAGGTCGCAGCACCTCGGGCACCCGAACACCGCCCTCCTCCTGGTGCGTCTCCAGGATACAACACAGGGTCCTCTGCGTGGCGGTGAGCGTGGAATTGAGCGTGTGAACAAACCTGTTGCACCTCTCGCCGTCCTTCCTCTGGCCATACGTGAGCTCCCTGTACGTCCCCGACGCCGGGAACCACGCCTCCAGGTCGTACTTCTTTGCGGCCGAGTTGTTCAGATCGACGGACACGACGTTGACGACGCGACCGGCGATGCCGAGCGCCGCGTAGAAGTCCTCCGCGTTCCTGATCATCTCCTCGTGCATCTCCCAGGAGGCGTCGCCGTCAGGGGCGGTGATGCAGAACTGCTCGACCTTCTGGAACTCGTGGGTTCTGAAGATGCCGGCCGTGTCGCGCCCGTGCGAGCCGGCTTCTGTCCGGAAGCAGGTGGAGAAGCTGACGTACCGGATCGGCAGCTGGTCGGGACGGAGCTGCTCGCCCTGGTGGTAGTACGCCAGAGGCTGCTCCGACGTGGCGGGGAGGTACTTGCCCTCGCCCTCGAGCTTGTACAGCTCCTCGTCATACTCCAGAGCTGCGCGCACTTGCCCATTGCTTCTTTCGTCATCATGTGCGGCGTCCCGATCAGCTTGTAGCCTCGCCGTCGCAGAAACGCTTTGCCGAAGTAGGCCAGCGCGTTGTTCAGCAGCTCGCCTTCCTCCTTGAGGTAGTAGCCCCTGCCGCCGCCGGCCTTGGCGCCCCTCTTCAAGTCCACGATGTCGAGCGCGACGCAGAGGTCCACGTGGTTCATCAGCTTCTGTTCCATCCTCCTATCTCCGAACACGCGCAGGAGCACGTTGTTGGCCTCGTCGGCGGCGACGGGCAAGGACTCGTGCAGGATGTTGCCGATGGCCATCAGCTTGGCGTCGAGCGCGGACTTGGTCTTCTGCTCCTCGGCCTCCATGTCAGCTTGTCTCTTCTTGATCTCGTTCGTGCCCTCCACCAGCTTCTTCGCCTCCTCCTCATCTTCTTCCTTGCCTGCGACTTTAAGCTTTCCAATCTTCTTGGCGGTGGCGTTGAGCTCCTGCTGGAGCTTGTCTAGAGAGAAGCGCAAACGGCGCCATTCTTCGTCGAGCGCGATCACCTCATCTACGACCTCCACGGACGCGAAGCGCCGGAGCTGGGATGTACGGACAAGACCCGGCGGCTTGCCGTCTTTGTTTTCTCCCGTGCGGAAAAGATTGAGGTCGAGCATTCTCGACGGCCGATGGCTTGACTATTTGTCGGCGATGGACGACCGATGGCTTACTGTTTGTAACACAACGGAAATCGCGATAGGGGAACTTGGGGAGTGAGGAGACGGAGCGCGCGATATATATAGGCCGGGCGGCAGATTAGGCGCCAATCCTGGTCGGTTACGGACCCAAATCAAACGAAGGGACAGTTTTTGTTTCTCCTCGACGGGAGTTCCCGTATCGGATTCGGATGCAGGACATGGTTGAACCTGCAGACCCCCGTGGAACTCCGACGCAGAACTTTCCTTCAGAAAGTCACGGCGTAACTTTCGTTTAATCGTGTGCGTCCAATACGGATCCAAGGGCCCCTATCCTTTCAAAGCAAAAAAAAAACCTCACGTGAGGGAGGCAAGCGGAGCGGATGCATTCGCCGCCGAACGGAGGATTCCATTGGCGCGTGCACGCGCCTCGCTGCGCCGCGGAGAAGAGAGGAGGATGGTCGCCGGGTGGACCGGGAGGAGAGGGAAGCAAGCTTGGCTACAGGGACGCAGTCGAGAAGAGGGTGCAGACTGCCCGAATGCAGCTGAACTGGGACGCAGTCGAACACCCGGCGACCATCCTCCTCTCTTCTCCGCGGCGCAGCGAGGCGCGTGCATGCGCCAATGGAAGCCTCCGTGCGGCGGCGAATGCTTCCGCTCCGCTTGCCTCCCTCACGTGAGGTTGTTTTTGCTTTGAAAGGATAGGGGCCCTTGGATCCGTATTGGACCCACACGATTAAACGAAAGTTACGCCGTTACTTTCTGAAGGAAAGTCACTGAATCCGCGTCCATGGAACTCCCCGCAATAAAACGAACACCGACCACCGGCAGGCTTTCGATTCTTTTGTGATTATTATGCAAAGTACAACACTGAGATTTTCCCTTTTTTCCCCATGAGAGATCCAGCAATTTCCTGTAGATTTATATATAGCACCGGACCATTCCCTCCATTCTAAAAATAATGCAATTTTAGTTTGGGACAAGTTAAACTTTTTTTTGACCAAGTGTCCAAGTCTATATTTATGTCTCCAAACAAATTTGCAATATGAAAATATATTTCATAATTAATTTAATAATTTTTTTGGTAGAACAAAATATTGGTACTTTTTTATATGTATAGATTTGATCACATTTGAAATTATTGACTCATCGAAAATCGATAAGTGAGAATAGTAAGTTTGTTTAGATAGAAAGGTGCGCAGCTGCCTAGAGTTTTGTTGTTTCCGTTTTTCAGGAAAACCATGTTTATAATAAGCATGTAAAAAAAACCATGGAATGTTGCATATTGAATTCATGATGAAGTCATAGCACTAGTCACCACGAATTCAGATTTCATACACCTATTTATCATTGGGAATTCATTTACCTAGGTGTAATATATATATATATATATATATATATATATATATATATATATATATATATATATATATATATATATATATATATATATATATATATATATATTTGTCCTAGACGTCGCTAGTACACTGCTAACTTTAAAAATTATTAGATATTATTATAAAATCATTCTATTTTGAAACACATGCTAAGTTCACACCAAATACGTTTGTTGTGAGTTGTGAACCCTGTCATCACTAGTTGGGTTTTGACAATTGTGGGCTTCGACCATGAATTGTGAGTCGGCGTGTATATATAAGTGGAAAAGGTGTATGTGACCTCCTTCAACTATTACGTGAGTATGATTTATCTTCCTCGGTCAGAAAATTAGATTTTTATACTCCTATAACTCTTGAAACTATCTAATTTATCTCCCTATAAGTGGTTTTTTTTCTGACATGGCGTCATATCAACCGCCACGTCCGCCACTAAGGAGGTAAATCGGACTTTTGCGATAGTTTGGGGAGGTCAATATAAAAGATTATAGTAATACTTTTTTTTAAAAAAATCCAATTTCTTTTTGCAACAAATATGTGTTTAAAACACAAAGGTAGACCATTGCTTCGATTGTTCATTCTTTATTGGCCAAGCAATTCCTATATCACGCGAAGTCATGGGAAAACACCACATGATTGACTTTTACCGAATTCTAAGCAAAGTAAGCATAAGTTATGTTCTAGCAAGGCAAAACAAACACGTTACAAGGTGCGAGAAACAATTCAGGATCATATAGCTCAAATAGGTTTTCTCAGTACTAAACATTGTGATTTTGTTTCGAGGCATAATGAAATTGGTTATGCACCGTGAGGAAAAAAATAGCTCAAATAGGGAATTTGGGGTTTGGTACTCATATTGTAACATAAATGCAATACGTACAACATAGTTCAATTCATGCAATTGTAAAACAAGCAAGACGCTTAGGAGCTTGTTTGATTCTCTTCCTAGTAGTCTGTGGGCTCAGATTCAGATATGTGGTCAGCCCCAGGGTTCATGTGGGGGGTCACTTCTTCTGTACGACACATTGGTAAAGAATGACTGAGCTTGATGTCAATCAACCTGTTCACTTATTGGTTTCAACCAGGGCTTATCAGCCATTCAACAGTGTTTTCCTCTCACAACAAACCAGCACCAGCCGGCTTATCAGTCCAGAAACCAACCAGCGAACAGGCCGAATGTATGACAAAACTTGAGCAATACTTGAACCATGATGCTTATACATTACATGGTACGTAGGTAGTACCCTAAAGTACTTAGGTCATAGGGTTATCGGCTGTTGTTTGCCTTTGACAGACCGTTCGTTGGGGTCTCATGGTCCTCCCATGAAGAACCAAGAGGCAAAGAGAACTCGTTGCTGGCTGCATGGTGATGCTCCCTACGGGGAGTCACCTCCTTAGAGTTAGAGACTCTTGTGGGGCGCCCCACCTATTGTACTTCGCCAAAGAGGCTCCCTAGGATGGGCCACCGCTATCTTCTCTTCGCTGTAGACATCCCACCGCTGTCGTCACTTTGTTCTCTCCCGCTGAGTAAGACGAGGAGGACGTGCAGCACAACGCATGGAGGAAGACCCTGCCATGGCGAAGAAGGAGCTGGCGGGGCGCAGAGGAAGAGCCCGACACGGAGGAAGAGGAGGAGGGGTCGGCGAGGTGGGTGAGTGGTGCGAGGAGGCTGAGCGGTGGGGCAGAGGAGTACGGGGAGGATGAGCAAGTGGTAGTGCTAGACCGTGGCGAGGGATAATCGAACAGCACCAGGACGGAAGAAGCAAACCATGGGAGGAAAAGGTTGATGATTATAGGGAGAAGCTATTTTTATGTTCTATTTGGGAATTGGTCTGGCCATATAGGCATGGGTGTCGTCTTCGCACGCGCACGCGTGTGGTGGTGGGGGGGGGCGTGTGACTCATTTCCACTAGAATCGTCGCAAAGGGGGTGACTCATTTCCACTAGAATCGTCGCAATCACTAGTTGGGTTTTGACAATTGTGGGCTTCAACCATGAATTGTGAGTGGGCGTGTATATATAAGTGGAAAAGGTGTATGTGACCTCCTTCAACTATTACGTGAGTATGATTTATCTTCCTCAGTCAGAAAATTAGATTTTTATACTCCTATAACTCTTGAAACTATCTAATTTATCTCCCTATAAGTGGTTTTTTGCTGACATGGCGTCATATCAACCGCCACGTCCGCCACTAAGGAGGTAAATCGGACTTTTGCGATAGTTTGGGGAGGTCAATATAAAAGATTATAGTAATACTTTTTTTTAAAAAAAAATCCAATTTCTTTTTGCAACAAATATGTGTTTAAAACACAAAGGTAGACCATTGCTTCGATTGTTCATTCTTTATTGGCCAAGCAATTCCTATATCACGCGAAGTCATGGGAAAACACCACATCATTGACTTTTACCGAATTCTAAGCAAAGTAAGCATAAGTTATGTTCTAGCAAGGCAAAACAAACATGTTACAAGGTGCGAGAAACAATTCAGGGATCATATAGCTCAAATAGGTTTTCTGTACTAAACATTGTGATTTTGTTACAGGCATAATGAAATTCGGTTGTGACCGGTGAGGAAAAAAATAGCTCAAATAGGGAATTTGGGGTTTGGTACTCATATTGTAACATAAATGCAATACGTACAACATAGTTCAATTCATGCAATTGTAAAACAAGCAAGACGTTTAGGAGCTTGTTTGATTCTCTTCCTAGTAGTCTGTGGGCTCAGATTCAGATATGTGGTCAGCCCCAGGGTTCATGTGGGGGGTCACTTCTTCTGTACGACACATTGGTAAAGAATGAATGAGCTTGATGTCAATCAACCTGTTCACTTATTGGTTTTAGCCAGGGCTTATCAGCCATTCAACAGTGTTTTCCTCTCACAACAAACCAGCACCAGCCGGGCTTATCAGCCCAGAAAACCAGCGAACAAGCCGAATGTATGACAAAACTTGAGCAATACTTGAACCATGATGCTTATACATTACATGGTACATAGGTAGTACCCTAAAGTACTTAGGCCATAGGGTTATCGATCGTTGTTTGCCTTTGACAGACTGTTCGTTGGGGTCTCATGGTGCATCCATGAAGAACCAAGAGGCAAAGAGAACTCGTTCTCGGTCAGACATGGCGATGCTCCCTACGGGGAGTCACCTCCTTAGAGTCAGAGACTCTTGTGGGGCGCCCCACCTATTGTACTTCGCCAAAGAGGCTCCCTAGGAGGCGCCACCGCTATCTTCTCTTCGCTGTAGACATTCCTGGTGGGCCGCTGTCGTCACTTTGTTCTCTCCCGCTAAGTAAGACGAGGAGGACGTGTAGCACAACGCATGGAGGAAGACCCTGCCATGGCGAAGAAGGAGCTGGCGGGGCGCAGAGGAAGAGCCCGACACGGAGGAAGAGGAGGAGGGGTCGGCGAGGTGGGTGAGTGGTGCGAGGAGGCTGAGCGGTGGGGCAGAGGAGTACGGGGAGGATGAGCAAGTGGCAGTGCTAGACCGTGGCGAGGGATAATCCAACGGCACCGGGACGGAAGAAGCAAACCATGGGAGGAAAAGGTTGATGATTATAGGGAGAAGATATTTTTATGTTCTA